ACAGCATGTACGAGTATGGGGAACATCCGTTATACCAATGTATTGATAGGTAGCCTCCGCCCTACCGCCCCCTCGCCACCCCCCCCCCCTCCCCCAACACACAAACACCAAAGAAGAAAAAGATTAAACCCCCAAAGGTTGTTCATAAGGAAAATGCAGTAAATAAATGCAAGGACCATCAGGCCCCCTTCCCCCGACCCAGCGCCAAATTCCCCTAAAAAACTGGCTCTCTATAATAACTGCTCCTCAAAAAGGAGGCTTTGTGGTTTCGCCTTCATAGCGTAAAAATGTATGATAATGCATTCGTCTTTTTATTTTCTCCCGACTAGTTCTGCAAATGTGTTAGTAGTGACTTAATAATTACCTTTTCAGATAGGCTTGGGGATTTCTGTCAGTAACCATGGTAACATCTTTTGGCGACAATTCCTCTTCCGATGTCCATAATTTCATATATGCGGGTACAGGTCTAATGATTGATAAAACATGACAAAAACATAGGCTTATGTAAATAAAGTATGATTTAAGAGGGAAAAGGCGAGATAGAGATGTGGGTAGAGATAGAGAGATGGGGAGAGAGAGAGAGAGAGAGAGAGAGGGGGGGGGGGGGGGAGAGAGAGAGGAGGGAGTGAGAGAAAGAGAGAGAGACTTTACTCAAAAATCCTCTACATAAACAAGCCCAATCTATCCAACTGGTTGTAATTGTATAAAGTTGAAGCAAAATTGTTCTCATAATGGATGAGTGATAGAACCCGTAGTTGCAAAGACTAAATAAAAGGATACACAACCTGAACGCTACTGTGATGAATGAAGTAAGAGAAGAGTATAGCTTGAACAGAAGAATGGCGCTTCTCTGTTGAATGATGAGTTAATGTATTCCTTTATCTCACCTGATGGATAACTAGGCCTGTATTACTTATATTATTGTTACATTTTCACGTAATTCTTAAACATGATACAATGACTTAAATTTGCACGTCATTCCATCGTCTAAAGAATCATAATTATATATTTCCGATATTGATTTAAATGTACCTTACTTACGATTTGATACGACCCAAGCTTTTGTTGCTTTGTGATTCGCCCCCAACGGCAAGATTCTCTGAGCTTGAATCAGAACTCAGTTGCTGACCTGAATAGATTCAATTTTTTTTTGTATTAGTCAAGTAGGCTACATACTGATATTACTGCAAATCACAATACAACAAAACAAATAAATGGTAACCATTCTATAGCTATGGTAACAACACTATAATCATGTTAATGTATAGGCATAATAATAATAATGTTTCTATAATTGTGTTGTTGTCATGGTAAAGGAATGGCATAATAAAAGTAGTCCTATTTAATCATACAAATGGATGGAGATTAAAAAACATTATATAAATATCCTGATTATTATATTACGTTATAAAAATATCTTCATACTATCCAAAGCATCTGTACACTGTAGTTTCGTGTATCATTAGTTTATAAGAGCACGCTAATGAGGGCTGACAGGAGATTTCAATGAAAGTTCAGAAAATTATCTCAGACTAGATCTACAATAGTTTTTAAAAAAAAGATGTAATCTATCATATAGATTCAGAGGTAGTTTGTCAATCTAATAATATAGGATAGTACAATAAGGCTAATCCACAGTTTTGCTCCAATACAAAATAAATGGAGGTTATTTTCATACAGTTCTGGTAATAATTATCATTCTTCGACAACTTACCGACGCAAGAGCACAAATTTTGAGCCTTGTGATTTGTATGCTTCCTGGATACTTTCTTTGGCTGTTGTCTTTTCGAGATTGATGTGGTTTTCTGTTTAGATCTTGCCTTCTTCATTTTGATGATATTTAGGATCGTAGATTAAATCATTAGTTTCTCAAATTTAGGACAAAAGGGATGTGTAACACACGTCATTCTGAGTTAGATCTCGTGTTCTATTTTCACCACCTTGATTCTCGATCTCGTGCTATACTGTGCTGGTCACTACGGTGACGCGCGCAACCTGAACTCCCCGCGCGCGTATGCATTGTGACGTAATTGTTACACAAATAAAGGCATCCTATTACGTCATAAGACGTTTAAATCTGATGAGAATTTGTCTATGATGATTATGATAAAGGATACTTGTATATCTGACCGGTATATAAGCCTCCGGTGGGTGCTCCATGACGCTTAACTGCTTTAAAGGCCCACTGCACTACTTGTGGCTACTTGCGCCCTCTATGTAACAAACAATGCCTAATCGGTGACCATTGGTCCCCCATGATCCTCTTTTCTTATGTTAACTGAGAGCTGAGTTGATGAGATAACCACCTGTCCAGTGACCTTGCAGGGCAGTCTAATCCCTCCTGTAAACTACGACAGATAAGCTTTAAAATATCTCACAAACTTCTACGATTCAAAATTTCAGTGAGTATCCCTACAATGTATGTATAATTACTGTAGATATACTATTTTGGTTATAATCTTCACCAAACTGCTTACATTAATCATTATTTTCATATTGAATTGTATGATTTTAATCATCGTTGTAAAGCCGCTCTTTCCCTTTTATCTTTCTCAGTCTCGTCGTCTTTCTTCTTGCAAAGAGAGGCATGTGCCCACAACCAGGCGCGTACGCAGGGGGAAGGGGGTCGAACCCCTTCAATTTTTGTTTAAGTTGAAGAAAAAATTGCCCCCCCCCCCGCTTATTCAGCGGCTGGCTGAGGCGTTCGAAATTTTCGGCCCGATTGAAAAATTGAAAATTGTTAACCCCCCGCCCCCCCCCCCTTGAAAAAAAATCCTGCCTACGCCACTGCCCACAACCAATACTGAACAATGATTCAAAATTATTCAAAATTTCTTTCTTGTGAATTTGATCTTTTTTCTCATTGTAGTCCTATACACTTTTTGATAAATGTTAAATCACAATGATTGCATTCCCGTGTAAATTTCTAATGAATTAGTCTAGTGGTCGTTTAAACAAAAGGGAAGATTTTTAGATGAATGATAAATTAGTCTTTCCTCAGCACAAGTCACCCTGATGTCCTTACTCCAAACCCTGATTTCCTCCCACTTTTGCTTTAATTATGGGTACTTTTCATCTGCATTTTACAATACAAAAGGTCATGTTGTTTGATAATCCAGATTCGGGTCGTTTTTTTTTTTTTTATTTTACCTTTGAGTATAATTTATGCGCGCGGCTCGCACACTCCACGAATTTACCTACCCGAACAAATTTGTATTCAAATGACCCCAAATATCCACAGATCTTTTACACATGGAGAAGTTCCACTTTGAGCATATTTGAATAACTGCCAAAGTCCTAGATGTGCTTCATGAATACCTTTTGTTTGCCCTCTTGAAAAGAATCCACCTGCGTATCATAGAATGTACCGTTGGTGCATAAATGAATAATGTTACATAACTTTCATGAGCGCATATCCAGTATTCATCTCTGTAAACTCCCCTTATTATTCTGTGAAACAATCGACTGGCAGGCAGTGGACCAGTTGTTTGACTGCAGAACACGACTCGTGGTGGAATGACATTGAAAGCTACTTAGTGCATTTATTAAATACTAATAACCCATTATGAAACAGAAGAATGATTACTTTTCATTGCGTAATAGGTCCATTAACATTACGATCTACGTGTAGCGATGTTAGTGTGAAAATTGATATGAAACGCTGGTAGGGAGGAAGAAAGAAAGACAAGAAAATAGAAGAAAAAAGAAAAAGAAATAAATAAGGAAAGAGAGAGAGAGAGAGAGAGAGAGAGAGTTTGGGACCGAGCGAAACATTGAATAGCTAGTTGCCAAATTACGTGTATCATATACCGAACAAATCAGGCTTGTCGGGCGGAGAAAATATTACAGGGCTGTACGTGGTTAATATGTTATGGCTATATTTGCATAAGCTTTCATAGCTATTTCATTAAACTGAGGAAATTATTTGTATTCCTTTTCGTTGCTCTCAGCAAAGTATGTAGAGTGAGAGAGAGGGAGAGAGAAAGAGAGAGAGAGATAGAGAGGGGGAGGGGGCAGGGCAGGGGCAAGCAAAGCAATTATTGGTTAGAAGGCGACCACATCAAACCATGGACCTACGATCAACTTGAACACTGTTGAATGCCACCCTAATGCCCACTGATAATGAATAAACTTCAACGGAGCTACACGAACGGTGTTCTTGTTATTGACTCTTTTAGTCCTTTTAGTGCATTTTTTCCGCTAAGAGCTAGGGATGTGTTTATTAATAGGTAATGAAAGTAGATTCTGCTTTCATAAGTGCCCCTGGGTTGCTTCTAACAATGATTGACACACGAAAAGAATTAGTTACATAAATTTCATAAGCGGCGTTCCTATTTGCCAAATCTTCGAGATTTTGTGGTATAATAAATGAATATAAATCTGAGATGTCAAGCACATGAAGTGTGTTGATACACTACGCTGACAAAAATCAAGAGACCCCTTGTTATGACCAGTGTCGTTGTATGAATTATGTATCAGAAACATTACAAAATAGTCGAATGAGAGAGGGAGAGAGAGAGAGAGAGAGAGCGCGCAAGAGAGCGAGAGAGATAGAGAGAGAGAGAGAGCGAGAGAGGGGTGGACGGGAAACATTATAGATTAATTGTACGACTTAATCTATTATTATCTATCTATTATCTAAAATAAGATTTCTAATAAAGCTGTATTTACAAGAGATAGCGAAATTAGGAGCATCTGTTTAATGTCTGTACTTTGGTATAGGCCGATTAATTACCTACAAGGCTACCACTCTGACAAGTCAATGGAAATGCATTAGAAACATCTCTGTATTTGTCTCGATGTGAACACATCCACAATCATTGTCGAAATATATCTAGTAACACTGTCAACGGATTGATTATCTTTTAACATAATTATGGGGGTTACGAAATCTCGTTAATTAATTTCGCATCAACGTGCACGCTGCTATGGATACTGAATTGGGGGATGGTCTTCGCAGTTTATTCAATCGCTGAGTGGAGATGCTGCAAGGTGGACTGATAAATAGTCGATGGGTGGAGATGCTGCAAGGTGGACTGATAAATAGTCGATGGGTGGAGATGCTGTAAGGTGGACTGATAAATCATTTATATTAAATAGAGCTAGATGATAGGATATTGACGGACAGATTGGTCAAGATGGAATCCAGCTGCAATCTATCAAACAATCGTGTAACGAATGTGCAGACAGGAGAGGTAAGTTTTAAATTTTCAAATTTTTGGAGATAAAATGGGAAATTAATGGGATAAAAACTATATAAAGCAACAAACTGATAACCAAATTGCAATTTGTGTAGTTATTTTCTAAGTTCCATAGTTTTTCATAGATTTAAAAAAAAAACACTTCTTTATTAGTTACCCGATTTTACTCATTTTTTTTTTTTTTTTTTTGGCTCTGTTTCCCATGTTTTCCTGCATTTATTAAATGTAATTAAATTGTTTTTGGAGTGGAGTTAGCCTTTAAAGTACACTAGCTGTGAAAGAAAGAAAGAAGTAAACAACGACGACAAAGAAGAAAAGGAAGAAGGAGAAGAAGGAGGAGGAGAAAGAGAAGAAGAGGGAGGAGGAGGAAGAGGAGGAAAGGAAAAGAAATGTCACGTCTCTCAAGCATTATGGTTGTCGAGATCTCGAGGAAGCAACTTTAGACATGGCAAAAAAAAACTATTTGAATAATCAATTGGATTGAGAAAGTCCTGTAGAGAAGATGAAAGACTGTCTCCGAAGCTTGAATCACATGTTCTGATCAAACCATCTCTCTGTCTAGTCGGGGGAAGGGGTGGGAATGAGACTGGTCGTACAATTGGCATGAGACCCCCTACCCCCTATTCCCCCTCCCCCGGCCTTTTGTAAAGCTGGATACAAGAAGAGTTTAATATTTATATAACTGTCATTATAATCTTTCCTTTAAATCACTGTTTTGTGTTTGTTTCAGACTATTACGTTATCCTCTCTTTGGGAAGAGGGCGCATGTGTGATCCAGTTTTTACGACGTTTCGGTTGCCCAATTTGTCGAATGGGAGCACGTGACATTACACATTTGAAACCAAGGCTTGACGCCGCCAACGTTCGTCTGGTAGCCATTGGTCAAGAGGAGACTGGAGCTAAAGAATTCATTGAATCGGGATTCTGGACAGGAGGTAGGCATACTGTGTTATACAGGGATGGATTTGATTTTGATTTGATTTGATTTGATTTATTGGTTTCTGCATCTTTTTTTCTTTCTTTTTCATCACACATTTTAATGAACGTATTATGGTTTGATACAATATTTCAAGTGTACATAATTTTATACAGATAATATAACGAAATTAAACAAATATATTGAATGCATAATCAACATACATTAGATTCAGAAGGGCTACAGAATGGGCAAAGTAGATTGACGTGCCTGCAGCCCTCAACTTAGAAAAAAAGCAGAAGAGTGACTTGCAGAGAAGAAAAGGAAAGGAGAGAGGAGGAGCGTTGGTTTTCCGTTAATACAATGAAATAATGTAATACATCTGCTGATTGAATGCAGGTTCATTCATGGATGGATAAACGATGCTAGGTCATGGACGATTAATACAATGTCTCTATAAGCGCTTTACAGACATACTGTTACCCCGGTCATTTTGATTCAGTGGTTGCCCGCACACACTGTGTGCACAATCTCCACTCCTTGGGGAGTATTTTTTATGTACCTACTGAGGGAAAATGAGCAAGTCCTTCTCATCCCGCCCCCGCTTGGTTGCTTCGCTCGCTGGCAAAGTGAACCAAATTTGAGAAACTATTGGCGCTCTTACCTGAAATGGGATGCTCTACCTAGCAAAGATGGGTTTTGAAGGAATATTTCCTATAACATCAAATACAGAATCATAACAAGTTGTTTTTATTTCTTTTTCCCTAGATTTATTCATTGACCAGCAGAAGAAGACATACGGAGACTTGAAATACAAACGATATAACTTCTTGACAATTATGGCAAATTTAATGTGTAAGATGACAAGAGAGGCGGTTAGCAAGGTAATGCATATCTTTATATTTAAATCCACTTATTATTTCATCCCCAAGATATTTCATTATCATTATCCAATCAATTTACATTACCATATTCAACTTTACAGACATGCAACTATTTTACTAAAAATGTCTTTTCATGATTATTGATGGATGTTATGTACAATTATTGTTTCCAGTAATCCAGATATGCTATTGCTATATAGGAAAACGCAACAACTGACAATATGGACAATATTCGTCAAAGGGCGTATTAAGAAGAGGAAGAAGAAATGTGTACACATTTAGTTTTTTATTTATTCATGCATGCATTCAGTCATTCATAAATAAATTAATCTAACAACTCTTCTTTAACAAATTATTCGTTATTACTTTGATTCACAATTGATTTTATTATATCCCACCCCATCTGTCTATATCTCTCCCCCTCTCTCTCTTTCTCTCTCTCTCTCTCTCTCCATGTCTGTCCCTCTCTCTTACTATTTCTCTCCCTCTCTCCCCGTCTGTCCCTCTCTCTCTCTCTCTTTCTCCCTCTCTCCCTGTCTGTACCTCTCTCTCTCTTTCTCTCTTACTCTTTCTCTCCCTCTCTCCCCGTCTCTCTCTCTCTCTCTCTCCCCCCTTTTCTCCCTCTCTCCCTGTCTGTCCATTTCTCTTTAACTCTCTCTCTCCCTCTCTCCCTGTCTGTCCCTCTCTCTCTTACTCTTTCTCTCCCTCTCTCCCCGTCTGTCCCATCCCCCCCCTCTCTCTCTCTCTCTCTCTCTCTTTCTCTTTCTCCTCCTTTCTGTCTGTTCGCTTCTCTCTTTAATTACTTTCTCCCGTGTAGGCAACTAGTGAAGGTATCACGGGTAACATGACTGGGGATGCCCTTCAGATGGGTGGAACACTAGTTATTGATAAAGGTAAATAATGTGTTTCCTTAGAACTCCTTTTTATGCTGAACAACCTCCAGGTAAATTAACCCCTATATGCATGGCAAGTGACTTTAACGACCAAAAGCAGACCCGGAGGGGGGGGGGGGTAGCTCGGCAAAAAAGGAAGAGGGAGTGGGATGTTCGGTGAAGTTTTCGGTGTTAAGTTTTCCAGGGACAGGATATCCTTCATTGAAGAACAAAAGTAATAAGAATAGCATTTGACTTGACCAAATCGAGGAAAAAATGTCAAATATTCATATTATTTAGGCGACTATCGATGAAGAGCGGGTATATAGGTCAAAATGTCTACGCACAATATCATCAGAAATCTCTCTGGTTAATTAAAGTAAGCCTTTTTTAAAGCAAAATCTGCTCGATGGAAGGATCTCTCAACAATATTAACGTTTTTGAATTGAAATTCTACGAAAGAGGCATAACCAGATTACCAATTACACTTTTTCTCATTATGTGGTATACGCGAGTCATAATTAATCTTGACTACGTTAATGTATTTAAAAAAAAGTGAACAGGATATATAATTAAGATCATGCTTAAATACATCTTCTTTCTTTCTTTTTGGACAGGTGGTAAAGTTCTCTTGGACTTTAAACAAGAAACACCCGCTGACTCAGTCCCATTAGACCGTGTACTACACGTCCTTGGGATAGGACGTCAAAGCCGTACACTCAGTGTGGAGTCTCGCTAAAGTATCGACAGAGGGCAGTGCTAAGCCGTACATTCAGTGTGGAGTCTCGCTAAAGTATCGACAGAAAGCAGTGCTAATGCTGATCTCATTTTGTTGTAGCAGTAGACAAAGATAAATGTCTCTTTTCATGTTCACACTTTTGTAATTTCTCTTTAATGTTTACACTTTAAACAAAGTAACTGTAAATCAATATACAATCCACATTTGGGCATATATTTCTGCTTTTTTGCGAATTTAGGTCGAAGTAGTGCCATCTTAACCGCTGAAGGCAAAATTTAGACAATATTGAATGGACATTTTGCAACCAAAACCCTTGAACCGCAATTTTACCACTACCGGTCTTTACCTTTAATACCGTTGGCAATACAAAGCTCTTACGCCCTTCTTGCGGGTAGCCGGGTTTCAATTTCATTTATTCAGATATAAAATTTAAACTGGTCATTGTGAATAAGCAAATTCTAAAGGGCTTTTATTTCGATTGTTTTAATCATTATGTGTACATTGCCGTGATAGAGGATTATCCAAATTGAATTATTTTATCCATGTATTTTTTATTGGGGGGGGGGGAGGGGCATACAACGGAAAGATTTTAATAAATATTTGTGGTAAGGTGAAGTAGAGTACCTATGGGTACAATTTTGTTGCAGTTGCTTCGAAAATCTTTCTGTGTTAAAATGATTTAATTGTCATGTTTGGTATGGTTTTCAGTTATATAACATTATTGATATGTGCAAAGAAAAATGTATTGTTTGAGGTAACGGGAACATATTCTTTTCGATTAATTTGTTATGTCTTGACTTTTTCATACTAATTGTTGTCTTGACCCATTTGTTGGAATCCCTTTTTATATCAACGGCTGATCGTACGCCCTACAAAACCCCCGCATCATCAGTATTATCATCATAATCATCATCATGATTATCATAGTTAATCGTTAAAGAGATCATAATTCAATATTTATTATCCATAATATAACATTCCTTCACAGGAAGCCTCCAATTAGCCTTATTAATATATTTTCCTTTAAGAAATTCATAAATTTATAGTGGTACAATATAACTTTTTTGTTTGCCTGTTTAATTTGCCAACTTAATTTTTTTTTATCATGTACTGTACGTCGCTATTGTTTGTGGGTTTTTTGGTTTGTTTTTGTTTTTTGTTTTGTTTTTATATATACAATATCCAAAATATCTATTATTGCTCTGGGGATTAGCCTCGACAGGCCCCTGACCTTTGTTGGTCCCCCCACATGTTTTTTTAATTTTTTTTTTATATCTACATGTATTTAGTTGTTCTGTGTTTATGGACTTTAGATTTGGTTCACCATTTGTTTCTCTTAATATTATTGTTTGTTAATTTTGTATTACTTTGCATTTTGTATATGTCTGAAAATGTATGTATACTTTTTTTTATAAACCACATGTGGAAATAAAACTTGAACATGAACTTGATGTTATAACCTCATTGCTCTCCATTGCGTAATTGATTTTTTTTTTTTTTTTAAAGGATTGGGTAAACATAAGTCCATTGGTATATAAAAAAAAGTGATCCATTTTGCTTTTTGACTGACGCTATATCAATATTGACAATATAATTGTATTTACAATGGATTGTGAGTTCTTAAGGCGGTTGTGTTTGCATTTCAAATTGGTCCTATTTGCAGCAAAGATTTCTTTTGGAACAAAAGCCTCTCACCAGGGGCGTAGACAACGGGGGAGATGAGGGGGATGCATCCCCCCACCTCACAAGGTGGGGGGGGGGGGGGGTGGCATGTACAATCATCCCCCCAGGTTTTGGGGAATGATATTTGCTTACTTAATAAGTCATAATGATGATAATAATAGTAATAATAATAATGATAACAATTATAATATTAATAATAATAATAATTATGATGATGATAATAATAATCCTCATCATTATTGTAATTGTGTTTATTGTTATTAGCCGCATTCACACGGTGAAAGCCAATTCAGACGGTAAAAAAAAAGAAAATCTTACAAGTATTTTGTGGTTATCTTGTGGTTTGGAAACCACAAGATAACCACAAGATTAAACAGGCGCGGATCTACGGGGGGTTTAGGGGGTTTAAACCCCCCTTGGGCGCCCCCCCCCCCCCAAAAAAAAAGGGGGGGGGGGAAAGAAGAAAAAAAAGAAAAAAAGAAAGAAAAAAGAACGCACACTGGAGAGAAACCCTTTCAAGTGCAAATATTGTGAGAAGATATTCAACTCATCTGGTAACTTAACCAAACACATGATAACTCTGGATATAACTGTGTATTTAACTGTTACTTGATTTAAAAAGACGTTATCATGCACTGCTTTTTATGGTCTCCATTGTGTTAATAGATGCCAGGAAAACATCACTTACGGGGTTCAAATAAACACCCCCAAAAAAATCGGCTCGTGGACGATGCTCCGCATCGTCATTATTGGTCAACCCCCCCCCCCCTTAGCAAAAAGCTAGATCCGCCCCTGAGTCATCCCCCCCCCCCCCCAGGTGTACGAACCTGTCTACGCCACTGCCTCTCACAATACTTGGACAGGGTATTTTAGGAAAGAAGAGTCTCATGGTAGAATTCCTTTGTACCTTTCGATATATGAAAAAAGATGTTGAAGAGACAATACATAATTAGATGAAGTACATGAGAGTGGGATGAATAAAAGCAAAATATAGTTTGTAGGGAAACAGTTGATATATTGAAAGAGAGAGAGAGAGAGAGAGAGAGAGAGAGGGGGAGAGAGAGAAAAAAACATTTACAAAAACAACACAAGCTAGAAACGGTGAAAAGAGAGGTATACAACATCAAAAGAGTATCTGCGAAAAGGAGGAAGAAAGGGGGCAGACGGAGACGGATAGGGAGAGATAAACAGATAGTCAGACAGGCAGAGGGAGGAAGAGAGAGAGAGAGAGAGAGAGAGAGAGAGAGAGAGAGAGAGAGAGAGAGAAAGAGAGAGAGAGAGAGAGGCAGACATGCATAGATACAAAGAGAGAGAGAGAGAGAGAGAGACAGTCGGACAGGCAAAGGGAGAGAGAGAGGGAGAAATAGGCAGATATATACAGATATATATATATATATATATATATATATATATATATATATATATATATATATATATACAGAGAGTCATATAGACAGGTATACAGGCAGAAAAGGAGTACGAGAGAGAGAGAGATAGAGAGAGACAGAGTGACAGAGTGGGAGGGATGGGAGTGGCTTTATAGGAACTTTAAAGACATTTAGCAACTTACAAAATTAGCAACTTTCATCAAACAGAAACAAAAGTGTACACAAATGATAATTCCCCCCAAACAAAAACAACATCTGGTGCGATTTAAGATATCAAACTTACCGATCGAAGATATTGGTGATACAAGAATGTTAACAGTGGGCCTATTACGAGTATTTTAAACTTTAGTTACGTGATGTTTGATACCCACAATGTACATGCAGCTTGGTTCTTCAAACTTTGTCAATACCGGGAATTTTAGGAATATGACATTTATTAGAGGGTGCTTGCTCTTTTTCTGTTATTGACACATCACCTCTTGTAATATACAAACATGGTCTGCATATATTTGATCTCCACCATGGATTGTGAATGGAATGTGTATGATAAAGCACACTAGCTCTCATCATGCAATCACGCATCACTTAGATCTTAACTCAGTGGTGCTTTTCCGTCATCGTTTTGACTGAATACACACGAGTTAGTTTGTGGAAGGGTGTGGTGTTTTCAGATCAAAATCTCGTATGCGTGGAAGAAACAGGAATTTTTGAATTGCTCCTAATCCTCTGTATTTCATATGTCAAGATCTAAGGAGGTATAATCAGCAATCATGTACAGTGTCAACGATGAGGTAAGAAACTTGTATTACTCTGAGGAAACTTATAGAACATAACTATAAAGATAAAGATAATAAGGAAATTTAGATATTTATTTACGGTTACCACTAAAGGAGCAGAATGATATGAATGGCTTTGAATCTTCAGCAAAACATAATTGAAAATGCAAATGCTCTATCTTTTGTCCCTAATATCATCACCATGAGTAACAGCAGTGTAGTAGAAATATACTCTTCAACTTTAAGTTGGCATAAGTTTCGTTTCCCTTTTTTCCTGAAATGGTAATCGCAAAATGATTTATTCTAGATAAACAACGTCCATATCTTCTCATAGCTTAATAGAACCGTCTCTATTACTTTTTATATGCAACACAGTTGTAATAAATAGTACGAATACCAGTGGTGATTGTTATAAATCGTTAGATATTAAATAAATGCCCGTATCCCTGCAGTGGTGTCCCTATTCTCTATAGCAATGTGTTCATTGTCATTTTCTTTGAATTCAGAAAATAAATTTCAGGCTATAGGTCTGCATGATGAACGACAACAACAAGAACAACATCATTTTAGTAATTCGTTATATAATTATAAAGGCCCTTGCTCAAACGATTATCGACTTCTCGTTCAGTTAAACCGTATATTTTTTCTCAACTTTTCTCAGAAGGGCTATTATTTTTGACATGTCAACAGATTTCTTCGATATTTAAAAATACAATAATCATATATCATATTTTGTTTTTTCATTGCACTGATGGTAGTTACCTGAAGGTTTCTTTGATGGTCATCACACCGGGACTCGTTCCAAGAAAACCCGCGTCCCTTCCTCGAAGTCAGGGAGATCATCGAAACAACAATACATCATTAAAGAGGAAGCAAACGACAACGACAGCGACAACGATGACGAAATGAAGAACAGCCGACATCGAATGAGACTTAGGATTGTCGCTGTGGCTCTTGTGTTCACGGTTGCTGCACTCATTGCGTTTGGTGTAGCGCTTTATTTCTCTTCCATGGGTAAAAACACTTATCAAATAATTTCATACTACCTGAGTGTTAACAGTTAGTGGTATCACATTGCGTTCACATTTATGTTAAAAAGTGTCAGTTTTCGTATGTCAAAGACGAAAAGTTTCATTTTGTTACGATGTGCGTGCCTTTACTTACGAAATGTTTTTAGGCACTTGACCTTTTAGATTATTTAAAGAAATAAAGGTATACATATTTCAACCACCTGACGGTCTACGAAACGTCTTGCGTTTATTCACTAATGCTAAAAAGGACCTTGCGATATTAATTTCATTTGCATCATTATGAAATAGGTATATTTTCGCAATTAGTTAATGTTTGAAGATATGACTCGATTACAGATTCGCAAATCAATTATCCTTTAAATTGCAATACACCCCCCTTGTAATGAGTTCATTTGTATGAAAGCAGAACAATAAGAGAAACAGAATGGTAAAAGTTTGAAATAAATCGGACTTATCATGAGAAAATAACGAATGTTTGAAATATGACATCACTTAAAGGTAAAGACCAGTATTGGAAACGCCCCAATTTCAAAAAATGAAATGGAAGCTCTCATTACCAATCATGTGAAAGAATATGTTTTGACTAATACATGATGATAAACAATTTGCCGGGAAACCACCTACTAATTCATATATTTGGTAAATTTGTTTCTCTCATGGTCTGTGGGAGATATAGGGTAGTCCCATATACATCTTTCTGTGTATAGTGCTTGTAACTTTACGAAGAATGGGCCAAATTTCTTAACATTTTGATGATTCCAGATCCTTGCAGATGCAAGATGCTAAATGATCAACCTTTTCTGATCGATTCCACAACGTTTCTTTCACAATGCAATCGCATGACCATAACTGGTCTTTACCTTTAATAAAGACGACTCTAAAATTGGCAATCCAGTCATGGATTGTGACGTAGACCATGTAAAGATTAAAAACCCTTCCGTTTGTCGTGTACAAACATATTATTAATTTCTGTCTTTATCCTACGTGTCTACGTGCCTTCTCCCTTTGGGGGGGGGGGGCACTGCTCAAGATATACTATTGGTAACATATTAGTATTGGTCCTCTAAAGAGAAAAGTCCCTCCTGGTTCATATACTTTCGAAAAAATTGACATTTTACCCATTTTGTGCGTTGTAACAAAGGAGAAAGTTGTTCGCCACTATTACCAATTCAGCCAATGTGTAGTGCCCAAAGGTATAGTGATTACAACTTTCACAAATTCTTAACTGTCTCATTTTCCCCGATTTCTTTCAAACTTTCACCAGTCTGCGTCTTTGATGTTCTTTCTTTCTACACTGTTGGTCATAATGGTGGAATATTTATTTTTACCCCAGTTTAGGGAAGGATTTAAAAAAATTATTTATTTCTAATAGATCTAGATAATGGCATACATTCTCAGATTTTATTGAATATTAATTTGAGAGTGTTTGTTTTGCGTGACTGCTTAATCATAATTGTGCTACTATGCTAATCAGCTAAGGGACCTACGTCCTTAAGTCATAATTGACAGTAATGAGGATTAATGCCTCACAAAAGGGCACTTATAGCTGATCGACTCGATTTTTATCCCGGGGCCTCACAGTAACGAGGCCATTGCTTAGCCCCTGAATCATGACTGTACGCAGTGTTTGCTAGGGTACGCGGCCCCTTCCACAAATCCCCCAAAACGAAGAAAATGCAATAAATTGTCAAAAATTCAATGCATTTTCCCCCGGCCCCCAACAGGAAAAACTTCTCTGTAGGGCCATGCATTATGGTTCAAGGCATGGCCACACAGAGGAATTTTTCCTGTTGGGGGCCGGGGGAAAATGCAATTAATTTTTGACAATTTATTGCATTTTCTTCATTTTGGGGGATTTGTGGAAGGGGCCGCGTACCCTAGCAAACACTGCGTACAGTCATGATTCAGGGGCTAAGCAATGGCCTCGTTACTGTGAGGCCCCAGGATAAAAATCGTGTCGATCAGCTATATTAGTGCCCTTTTGTGAGGCATTAATCCTCATTACTGTCAATTATGATTTAAGGACGTAGGTTCCCTAGCTGATTAGCATAGTAGCACATATATGATTTAGCAGTCACGAAAAACGAACACTCGCAAATTAATATTCAATAAATCTGAGAATGCATGCCATTATCTAGATCTATTAGAAATAAATAATTTTTTTAAATCCTTCCCTAAACTGGGGTAAAAAAAATTATTCCACCATTATGACCAACAGTGTATATAGAGTAGTAACAGTAGTTAGCTATCAAGGTTGGATTTCCCTTCAATTATTATACCGTTCTCATTTCAGAAGATCCGTCGGTAAATCTGGAACCAGTGATTGCTGAAGATGAAGTACCGTCACCTAATTGAAATGACATGATGAAATAGACAACGACTTCCATGATGATCACGAAGGGATCATTTGTAATGTTTCATGATTACAGACGTCATCAGACATTCAATATAACGCTCGCATGACATTCACGATATGGAACGTTTGAACGGGATAGAACATAATAGCATAGGCCTACATGGAGCACATTTCAACATTATCCCGAACTAATGTGTCCGAAAATCAAATATAAATATTGGGACACAAAGAAAGCTTTCATTATTATTATCATCATCATCATCATCGTTATTATTTTTATTACCATTTATATCATCATATTTTTAATATATTTGTTATTACCATTTGTATCATCATATTTCTAATATATTTTGTATTATCATGATCGTTATTACTATTACCAATTTATCATCATAATCATCATCATTATCATGATTCCAAACAAACATGTCATCTTACTTGTCATTTTTATTTTAGAAGTCAGTATCAATTTCTTCAAATTTTAACGTAAATATCTACAGTACTTAGAAAATGTAACGTATTGATTATATGTTCATGCACCCGATACGAGCTGCGACATTAAAGTCATTGACCAGTTTTGGAAAAATGATGCAATATGTATTGACCCGTTTTTGTATCACATCCAACATGTGTTTGATTTGCGTCCAGTAGTCATTAACGCTATTTTAAGACCTACTTTTTGTGGTTAGACTCATTAACCAGGCGACAGCGCCCAGCAACATTTTTTTCTACAAACGACTGTAGCGCCAGGTTACCCGGCCATACATCCAGGGCAGATCAAAGACTTTACAGGGGAGGGGGGGGGGGGGGGGGGGAGGAAGCTTGAAATAAACGAAATTGCGAGAATGAAGCCTTCAACTGGATGCGGTCCCCGGATAATCTTAGCCTTTTGGCAGATTCTGAGGCCTATCCAAATGCTTAAACAGAATATGTATGCGAACACATTTTTTTCGGGAGAAAAAAAGGGGGGGCGTGCGCCTCCCAGTACCAGGCATCCACTGGATCTGGGCAGCGTTTCATGAAACCGTCATAACTACAAGTTCACCGACATCCCATTGAAACGTGTGTTAAACTTAATACACACATTTCAATGGGATGTCGTTGGACTTGTACTTATGACGGTTTCATGAAACGCTGCCCAGATCCCCGACACCGAACACCTGGGGAGGTTTCACGAAACCGTCATTAAGTCTAACTTTTTAGACATCGTATTGAAACGTGTGATAGAGATCTAACACGTGTTTCTACCAAATCTCCACGAGCTTAGACTTATGGCAGTTTCGAGAAACTAGCACTCGCTCTGAATCTGGCGCATCCACGGCCACGCTGGAAGCTCGGATCTGACCGCCTGCGATGCATGCCCCGGACGCGACGGCAGCCCGCTCTCGAGCTAACTCTCCATCGCATCGTGCAGCTGTCTTTCTTCTCTTTCACGAACACGGTTGCCCGACTGAAACAACTAGACCACATTAGTATCCTGACATCAAGATAGGTCTCTATTATGTGCCCATCCGTCTGATTAAGGTAGGTTCTACAGTAACACCGTATTTTATTCTTTTTTTAAATAAATCTAACTTGCACATTCAAATGGAAATAATAGCCCTACCAGGTGCGCCGGGCCCGCCGCTCCCGCCCGGCAGGATACCTAGACTGGTGGACATCACGAGCCATGTCCCTGGTTTTGCCCACACATAGCTGCATTACTATCCTGGCTGTGCAGCTGTGTATTAAAAACTGTTCATATTGATTTTCAGCATTTCAAACTACACTGTACAAAACTCAACTGATTTCACTCAAAATCGGTACTTTAGTGATAGTTGATGCCCCCCCCCCACTCAGTGTTATTTAGGGTATGCATATGCGTGTTCCCCCCCCCCCCTTGCAGCAAAAGTCCGGTGTGTAAAGTCCCTGGCCCCCCCCCCCCCCCACTCAGTGTTATTTAGGGTACGCATATGCTCGTTCCCTCTTTTTGAAAGCACCCCCTATCTGAGGACTGCCAACATTTTCGAACCCCCCTTTCGCGGGCTTTTCACAGGCTTTTCCTGCCTTGGAGACCCCCCTAAATCAGGAAAAATGCTCAATGCACCCCCCTAAATTCAGAATAATTTCTCAGGAGTCAAAAGAGATGAGAGAAAAAAAGAAAAAACACCCCCTTTTTAAAGAAATCTCCGGGTGAAAAGTCAAATACACCCCTTTTTTTACAATTCTCGGGCCGGACTTTGTCGCACGAAAAGTACCCCTTTACCGGACATTTTGGTAACACGCATGCGGTCATTCCGACCCCTGCGTGGGGGGGCCGGGGTAAAGTCAATACGGGTCGACCTTTTTCTTTTGTTATACAAGCCTTTTTCAGCAAAAGTCCGGTGTGTAAAGTCAATACGGGTCGACCTTTTTCTTTTGTTACGAAAAGGACATTTTGGTAACACGCATGGGGTCCATCCGTTCTCGGAGTGGGGGGGGGGGGGGGGCTGGGAGTTGATGACACCTAAATAGCATACAATTTTTTCAACTTAGGTCTATGTTATAGTTATACTTAGAGATCTAGAATCTAGTCTATAGTCATATAGATCTAGACTAGAAAGAAAAATTCAAAAATTCAAATCGTGAGTCTACTGTCAAACTTGCTAATCAACCACTTTGTATACATTGTGTGCATTAGTGTGCAATTGTGTGCAATGTGTTCATCGTGTGCTATTGCTGCCTCTCAGCACGTACATGTAACAGCGCTAGAGGACAATACGCCTAAGCATTGACTCTAGCCTTGCTGGAGTGGTTTTGCCCTGCAGGCCTGGGTGGAATACGATATAAAATATCAAAAACTGTGACTCTAATGATTGCATTTTAGGCGTGGACTTTACGTAAGGTAGCATATGACGTTCAAATCAGATTTCTTAATAATCTTGCCATATGACCCATGTGCATCAACTTTTCACACGTATAGGCTACTGTCGGTGTCATCATGCATCCTCAGCTCATGGTAGCTGCTAGACGCAGGTTGTAGATCTAATAACATTGATATCACTTGGCCTATACCCATCATTTAATAATATTCAATCTGAGCTGTATGGCCCTACGTGTTATCAGTGCCTGTGATATGGTGTAATATTGAAGCCCTAAACAAAATTGCGCTTCAAAATGATCATGATAGAAATGCCTCAAAGAAGTAAAAATCTGTTAGTTTGAGTTACCATTTTTACCATACTCATTTTCCCCAAAAGACTGTAGTGTACATGAATGTAATAAAAAACTGTTAGGTAAACAAAAAATGAAATTTTGATTTCCAATCATAAATATCTTGATAATCAGACAGCTAGGCAATCGGCTTGTAAAGTCATGGGATTCCTGACTGACCTAAATGTTTGTAATCATGATTGCAGCATGAGCTAAATCCAGGAGTTTTTTTCTTCAGAATCTGAGGCAATGTTACCGAGCCACTTAATTGATACCCGTACCCCTATCAAGACTGATAATTGATATAAAACAAAAATTCAAATTTGTTCATAATAACCACTAGAAGTACCCACACTAAAATAACCTTACCCACTGGTGGTAGCTGTTAATACTAGTATGATTAGTATTACTATACTGTAGGACTAGTAATATAAACTCTTCTTTCTTCTCATACAAATCACTTTAAAATAATACAAACATTTAACAAAAAATGTAAATATTTGATACTGGAGGGATAGCAATTTGGTGTGTCACTCTCGATATGGGTGCCAATTAAGGCTTAGTGACATCCATATCATATTTCATGTTATCACCTAGCCCTAAGGCTATTCTAACCAGTCTAGCGAACAAGCTGTTGGTTGTCCCTGTTCTGTAATTGATCATCTTGGTTGCACTCACATTTATGGAAGTTTATGCAAATTTATGCAAGTTTATCCAAATTAATTGTTGACACTATTGGGACCTTTATGTGACTGTAGTGGAATTCACTGCTGCAGGGACGGATCCAGTCTGCAGAAAGGGAGGGGGCCGGCTGAAAGGGGCCCAATTCGTGAAAAAATGTTGAGCACCGAGTTAACACCCACCACCCCCGGCCCCCCTTTGCTCCCCCCTTTCTCCAGGGGGGCGTCTTTTTTAAATCTAAAAAAGGTTAAATTTACCTGTTTATGGGGCCAAGTGAGGGGGTCCCGCGCCCCCCCCCCCCCCAATCTGGATCTGCCACTGCACTGCTGCAATAGTGAAAAACAGACACCATAATCTCTCTTCTCACAGAAGATTTAATATACCTAATGTTAAAGGGAAATCCACCTTATTCTCTAGTATTAGCAAACTACCAGTGGAAGGCTGAACAAATATAAGAAGCACAATGGGGACAATTTGATTTAAATTTAAATCAGACTAAAAGTGACAAAGTTACATGTACACATTTTTGAAGTTGTAAATTTGTAATCATTAAAACATGTAGGTATGGGCTCTTCAAATTGGCTGAATCAGTAACGTCTATAGGATGTAGTGGCGGACAACTTTTCCATTTGTTCCAACACACAGAATGACTAAAATGTAAATGAAAAAGAAAAAAAACATGTACATGTATGACTCAGAAGGTTCTTTATATCTTAAGAGGACCTGTAAATAAACTGATAATTTCCACAAGGAAGAAGGCACTTAAGATTATGTTTTGTATACAACAAACAGGAGAGTTATCCATACATGTCTACATCATGTATTTCAAACTTTTGCCATTCTCTTTTTCTTACAGTGTATTTTTTAAAACCCAATTCAGGGACTCTTCAACTCACACATGTAATGTAATTTATGCTACATGTATGTTTCAGAGGTGAAGTAGACAACAAACAGAAGAGTTATCAATGTCTACATGAATGTACCAAATTGCCAATTTGAGATTCACATTTATTTAGTGATCTCATACTTCAAACATTCATAACTCTTAGTATTGGTCTGATTTATTTCAAACTTTTGCCATTCTGTTTCTCTTACATTGTATTTAAAAAAAACTCAATTCAGGGACTCTTCAACCCATACATGTATTGTAATTTATGCTACACGTACATATTTTGTGTTTCAGAGTTGAAGGGAAATTTTGAATAATTTTTTCCTCATGTACATTTATATATCTATGAATGGTCAATCCCTGCTATTAATACTAGAACACAAGACATATTGAAGCCTCTTCAACAGGTACATTTTGTAAAGCTATGGTGGAGTACAACTGCTGTGAGTATTCTCAAACTTGTGTGTGAGTTTTGACAAGGGAAATAAATCACCAGCCCCCCCCCCCCCCC